GGTCTTGGGTTCAATCCCCAGTCCCTCCATTAAATACATACATACATACCTAATTACCTCCCCACCCCCTCCCCCCAAAAAGAAAAAGATTTGCTTTAGGAATTCTTCCTTAATAGTATGGCACTGAGACTACAACATTACAGGTCTTTAGTACACAGTGTGTATTATGTGTGGTGTTGTACATTTGTCTCTCTAGACTGGAAAGTCTTTGAATGAAAAGACCTCTTTTCATGTGTATGTTTACTCCAAGCACAGTACTGTGCCATAAAGTAGACACTCAAAGAATGAATGACCAACAAGAGGAAAAGCACTATTCAAAATCAATATTATTACCCCACCTTCCCATACAAAACCTGCCCCACTTCTGGAATTTCCTCAACCTCTTCAGACTCCTAGACCGAAAATAGTAACTATGTAGCACATGTTTCAAAATTTGTCAGAAATGCCTCTATCCCCTGGCCTTTTGCTATCTCCACTTCCACTGCATAAATGTGAATCTCCTACTTATTAAAACATGTGTTTTACTAAAAAAGCACTACATGCTTAAATATTTTTGAAAGCAACCTAAGATTAAAAAAACAGATTTTTAAAAACTAGATTAACTCTATCATTTGGAAAGAAAAACAAATGTGCAAAATAAGCCAGAAAATTTCTGAAAAAAGGTTGATGAAGATCTAGCCCTACCAAATTTTGAAACATGTAAAACTATAGTAAATAAAACAACATGATGTTGATACTGACAACACTATAGAACTGAATATAGTCCAAAGTAGATCCAGATGCAGATGTGCTAGGAATGCAGCATATGCTAATAATTACATTACACATTAATGGTGAAAAACATGAATTATCCTGGAAAAAAATAAAATTGGATTCTGTGTGAGTTTTTTCCAAACACCAATAACCAGTTCTCAATTCTCAGACACCAACTCTGATTCGCCAAACCCAACTGGGCGTCCAGCAACTCAATTCAATTCTGATACTATCTGGAGTTACTGCAAACCCTACAGTAAAGGGCTCAGTCCCACAAGACTGCCTTCACTTCAGACACCAGTTGCAAGTCCCAGGTCCCTAGGGTACCTAGACTCTGTCCAACTTGGCTACAAATTTGGGGATCCCCACAATCCCCTCCTTAAAGAAAACTGAAAAATTTTAAGACCAACCCAGAACTCAGGAAATCACCTGACTTAGGTTTAGTGGTCTATTATAAAGCACACAACTCAGGAACACCCAAATGGAAGAGATGTACAGGATAAGGTATTGGGGGAGAGACGCAGAGCTTCCAAACCCCCTGGATGTGCCACCCTATCAGGACACCAATATGTTCACTCACCCTGATTGTTCAAGTATTTTTAAAACCCATCTCTAGCCCCTCATCCATTCTCCAGAGGTTGGAGGCACAGGGCTGAGATTTCCCATCCTCTAACCACGTGTTTGGTCTTTCTAGTGACCAGCCCCCATCCTGAGGTTCTCTAGGGTCCCTGTCTTCACTCACCTCATTAGCATAGATTCAGGTGTATTTTAAAGGGGACTGCAATGGGTAACAAAAGACACTCCTATCACTCGGAAAACCAATGGTTTCACTTCTGTGCCATGAACCAGGCACAAAGACCAAATATATGTTTTAATTATACTACAGATTCGTATCTCATTCCTTAGCAAAATAAATTCCAAATGAATTAAAGATGAAAATGAAAAACAAAACCTTAAAAATACAAAAGAAAACATGGGAGAAATGTTAAAATACTTTTTAAGTGTGTAAGGCCTGTTTTACACACTATAGCTCAAAATCCAAATGCCCATAAAAGGAAAAAAAGGATATATCTGACTACATGAAAAAAAATTTTAATGTTTAATTGGGAAAAGGCATAAATACAAAATACAAACAACACTGGGGCAAATTGCAACACAGAAAACATAAAGAGCTCCTACAAATCCACATGAAACCAAATAGGAAAACAGAAGACACGAATAGACAGTTCACAGAAAAAGAACTACAAATGGTTTTTACATGTAAGATATACGCTCGAGGGGGAAGGTATATGCACAAGGTCCTAGATTCAATTCCCAGTACCTCCACTGAAATAAACTAATAAACAAATATGTAATTACCTCCCTCCAAAAAACTAAAAATAAAATTTTTTTAAAAATTTATAAGATATATGTTCAACTTCATTCTCAATAAACAAAACTTTAAGATACATTTTTCACCTATAAATTTGGTAAAGACAGAAACAAAACATTACACATTTTCAGGATATCCTTTCTTTATATATAAATAATAATAAAAATAAGACACTGTACATACTTCGTATATTTTATACTCTCATGTGTATATTTCTGCATTCCCCTTTTATGGATACATAAATTGTGGGGACTGCAAAAATGAAAATATTCTGAATGTTTTAATATAGTCAATGTTAATGTTTTAATGCATATCCTCTGCCCTTTTTTGTATAGATGCATGTGGAATGGTTACAAAAATGAGATTATATTCATGTTATTTTAAACAAGTTTTCCTCCCTTATTTAGGTCATTAAACATGATTTCACCACCTTTTTATCCTTTCTTTAATGGAGGTACTGGGGATTGAACCCAGGCCCTCATGCATGCTAAACATGTACTCTACCACTGAGCTACACCCTCCCCTCAGTGCTTTCATCACCTTCTGCATGGACTTTTCAACACCCTCCTTTCTGTCTCCTTTCCCTATTGTCAGTCTTCTTCCTTAGTTCATCCTCCACTCCACCTGAAACTACCTTCATCTGTCGTTTTTTGGGTTTTCACTGCTGGCAGGCTTAGGCTTAGATTTCTTAACTAGCAAACTAGGACACAACAGTTGTAACAAGCTACTTCTCCAGACTTATCTTTTTCCCTCTATCCTATGCATTCACCTTTCTCTGGGCACACCAGGCCCTTCCACTATCACTCGCTGTTTGATATCATTCTCTAAGCCCTCTTCTCTTACAAAGTATCCATGTATCTTTCAAAACTCACCTGCTCCAAGAAACCTTCCCTGATGCTCAGAGTTAATACCTTTGTGCTCACAGTACTTCATTCATTTCTTAAAGATTCTACATCTTGGTCATTTTACCTGTTTACAAGTTTATCTCCGTAACTAGGCTATGTATTTCTTGAGGATTAAGGATCTCCAGAACTAATCACACATCTCCCCCGTCTGTATAACTCAAACTTAAATAGATGCTTTTGTGGTTTTCAAATATACAAGATCACTTTAGTGCATTATATACCAGGATATTCACTGCAGTCTGAGTAGCAGAAGATTGGGAACAACCTAAATGTCAACCAGTAGGTGGTTAATTAATTATGTCATCCTTACAAAGAACACATGCAGTTATTAGTAAGAATGAGGAAGCCCTATTTGTACTGGTATGTTCCTATCTCCAAGATACTTAAAGTGTAACACACCCAACACTGTGTATATGAATTGCCATTTTGTGTGAGGGAAAATTTTTATATTTGTGCACATATTCATTTATAAATTCAGAAAGCATCTGGGGAATTCAGAGTACCTAAAGGGAACATCATGTATCTAAAGATGCATGTCAGAAGGAAGTTGACTAGAGGAAGAAGGTAGACTTACTTTTCACCGTATGCCCTCTGGCACCTTTTGAATTCTGAACAACTTTGGTTATTAACTACAAGAATAAAACACAAAACGTTTGAGAAGACTTGCTATCTAGGTGGGGGGCATCTTTAGAAATAAAGCAGCCCTCTCAAAGACTGGACACCACTGCTCAATCAAGTTAGTTTTAAAAACCTGCCTTGAGAACCTGAGGCCTCAGTACTGCGTCCTGAGTCTGAAGAGTGGACTGACTGACTCTTGCTTCTCCTCAGCTGCCATCGCACCAATCCTGTAGCTTTCTAAAGGCATCTAGCACATTCCACCTTGTATTACGTCTCTTCGCCTTCCGTAAGCCTAAAACACCTAGGACACTGGTGGGGGGGTGAGTCCTTATCAGATTCACTCTGGGCCCCCACAGCTTCTAGAACACCCTCAGGCACACAGTACACAAGAAAAGTCTGGTGATCGGGATAAAAGCAAGGGGAGAAAGGAGCAAACGGCGCGAGCAGGGGACAGGGGAGGCCCACCCTACACTCTGCGGCCGGAGACCTCCGGGAAAGAGCAGCCGCCTCTCCAGTCACGCCCAGACGTGCGCGGCCGACAGGCCTTGCCTTGCGCACAGCGACCCGCACCGCCTAC